GGATCACCACGTTACAAATGGACGAGGAAGTTGAAATTGTGACCACGCGAGTGTTACTTGACGAATGTTTGAATATCAAAGGAGAGTCGAATGGGATCATCGACATTGTTTTAAGCACAGTGATTAATAAAGGCCTGGTGATTGTTTCCAATTATGATCGACTGCACGTTGAAGTTGTGAATGTGATTAGTGACATCATTCTTACAAAGAGTTGGGAGATTCAAAAGACCGGGATAGTGTTATTACAGAAGGCACTTCCATTGGTGAAAACTCGAAATGAAGTGGTAAGCTTCTTTGTGACGGACGTCTTGGATTATTTGTATGACATGATTGCGACGAATATGGTGTCTGGAGACACTTTGTTTTATCGAACAAAGAAGAGCACAAACGAGATGGAAGGGGTGTGTTGTCAGTGTGCGAGTGTGAGAAACACCAACGAGATGGTGATGTGTTTGTGTTGTAAGCAATGGCTATGCTCACAAAACTGCGTGGAAATCCATTGCCACTTTAAACACAAACTTGTCAGTGAAAAGTTGACTCGACATGTGTATACCCCACGACAAACAGATCTGTCACACTCGTTCGACTTGTTGTTGTCTATACTGAACGTCCTATGTGAAATCAAAGAAGACTTCCAAACTAATATACTCGACTTCTTATACGCTCAATTGACTCGCTATCTTCCAATGAAATGGTTACCAAATGCTCCAATAGCAACAATCGATTCGGTCATCGACAAACTTGCGGAGTTGTGTTGTTTCATATTAGTCCAAAAGAACGGCGATGGTACTTTATATCAAAAGATTTTCAATCTTATGGAAACACAAGTCACTTGCCATCTTCTCGAAGAGATGTATTCATCACAAGAAGCCACTGAGATCATCAACGATTATAACTTGAAAGACAAACTTCAAGAACTCGAACATGTTGATGACGCCAAACTCCTTTCAGTACTTTACAAAATTGTACATTGATTTTGTTATTCTATATTCTATTAATATAGTACTATACTTAGAAAATAGTATATTATACTATTATTATAATAGTATAATATTAATAGTAATTTTATTAGAGAATATGACCCAACAAATAAGATGAAACAAAAGTGACTTAGTTGACTGATTGTTTGAATGGGGAGTTAGCGATGTGTCTTCTGTTTAACTTGCAGTTGACATTGTAGTCACCTTTAACAGATGGGAGAGTGTATGAGATGAAGTACTTTCCTTCACCGAGATGCTTGACCTTAATCTTTTGGTCTTCAAGCTTTCCTTCAGGTCCGTCCAAGTCGACTGTGAATTTGGCTTTTCCGTCAGTTTGGACTTGTCCTCTTCTGTTCTTGGCTTCAACGACAAAGCAGAAGTTCTCGACACCACTTTCGTCAGCGTCGGCATCTTCTTCGACGTCCAAGTAATATGGAGACTTGGCTACCTTCTCGTTGTTCAACAAGATCTTCACCTTGATCTCACCTGCTTCAGCCTTATAATGAACTTCATAAGTACCATCTTCTTTGTCAACAACAGTGCATGGGATACTGCCCTGAGTCTTTTGTGGGACTTTCTTTCCTTCGATTTCTTCTTCTGGTTTGGCCTCTTCTTTCTTCTCTTCAGTTTCCTTTGGAGCTTCTTCAGCGACTTCTTCAGCTGGTTTCTCATCTGGTTCGACGTCATCAGTCAACATGTTGAACAAATCTTCGGCTCCGTCGTCTTCCTTCTCTTCATCAGAAGATGAGTCAGAAGATGAAGATGAGGAAGAGTCGTCCTTCTTCTCTTCTTTCTTTTTAGCTTCTTTGGCCTCTTTAGCCTTCTTTGCTTTGGCCTTATCAGACTCTTTGATTTGGTCAATGATGACTTGGAATGGATGTCCACCAGTAGGAACGTCGTCTCCCTTAAAGTCCTTAGCTTTAATAACGAAGATGTTATCATCTTGATCATTTGGTTCTTCAATACCTTGGCCAGTGACAGTGCATTTCTTCGCAGAAACGCCATCATCGATTTGTGGGTGATAGACGGATCCTTTAATGTCCTTGAACTCTTCTGCGTTCTCTGGGTTCTTCAACTGAACAGTCACATCATAGACACCCGGGACTTTAGCCTTATACTTAACATCATACTTTCCATTGTTTCTGTCAATGACTTTAGGCTTCTGAGTCTTTCCTTTTGGATCTTTAACTTCAACAACAAAGACGTCGCCACCTTTTGTGCATTTCTTTCCTTCCGGAGTGACTCCTTGGATTCTGAACATCGGCGTCTTGTCAATAGAAGTCTTTCCTTCAACACCAGGACCATACGCATACGAATTTCCAATACAAGCAGTCGATGGGTCTTGGAAGACTTTGCACTTGTATGGAGAGTCCTTGATGCCTTGATTCAATAATGTGATGTAGACGGTATCAATGCCCGGAATTGGTGAGTAATTGACTGTATAAGTTCCATCGCCGTTGTCCTTAATTTCAGACTTAAGTTCTTCGCCAGAGGGAGCTCGAATAAGAACTTTATACTTCGCGCCAGTCACTGGGACTGCGACATTCACTTTATTCATCGAGTGAATAACAAACTCGACGGGACCTGTGCCAGCTTGGCATTCAGTGACACCAGCACCATCGGCATAAGTGTTATTTGGATCAGCTGCAGCTGGCTCAATCAACACAGTGACTGGTGATTGTTTCAACTGTTTGTCTTCATAAGCAACTTCGACTTTGTGTTTGCCGGGGACAAGTGGGATATAAGTCATCTCATAAGTACCATCGCCGTTATCCTTCTGTGTGATTTCAACTTCCTTTCCTTCCGGATCAAAGACGTGAGCATTCCAAGTCACTCCACCCGATGGGATTTGTTCGTTCTTGCAGTTCTTGGCAGTTACTGTGAAGACTTGTGGGACTAAGACTTCACCTGTCTTTAAACCAGGACCAGCCATTAAACACTTTGAAGGGTCCGGTGTTTTCATTAACAAAGCTTCTCTGGCAAGTCGTTCGGCTTCACCAAGGGCCTTTTCCTTTTCAGCCTCATAATGTCTATAATATGAGACATAAGCCATCACAGACAATTCATCAGGCTCGGGGAGTGCCATATCTTCTGGATCGATAATGGATGGAATGTTCATTTTATCTTCTGCAATAGTTTCGCCATATCTGATTCTATCGGCTCCCTTTTCCTTCTTAGCAGTATCGTCCATATCAATAAATGTCGGCTCTAACGCGTGAATAAGCTGAGCAAGGGTATCACCACTGTTCCAATCCTTGGAGAAATTGTTGATCTTGTTTGGCGCAATTTTGGAGTTGACCCACTCCAACAACGCATTTCGAGAAGCGTCCATCTTGTTCTTGGAAATTTGATACTTCAAAATCAAAGTCCAGAGAAGACCAAGAATCAACTTCAAGTTCCCATCACAAATGTTTTGAGCATCAATGTTGACCAAGTGGACACCATCAGCTATAATGAACTTCAATGCTTGCTCGGTGTTCTCTAAACGAGCCACTCGCATCTTTGGATTTCTATTGTACTTGAAGTTCACTTTCATTTTACGAAGCGCTTCAAACAATGCAATCAGAATAAGACCATTGTCTAAGTCTTTCTCAACATCTTTAATAATAAAGGCGCCACTCAGTTGGACATTTGCCCACTTCGTGAACGTCTTCTTTTGAGTCATAACCCATTGGGGCTGTTTGTCTGCCATCCTCAATATGTTCTATATTCCAGTTTCGTTTTATAGTTCACTTCAAACCGTTTTGAGCATCTTTTCTGGATTTCTGGAGTTTGTTCTTTCCTTCTCTTCCATTATTTTTCTGTTTCGCATCATTTCCCGAGTTTCTAGAGTATGTCGAGACTCTTTCTTTAACAGTTTGAAACGTTAGATCTAATTATTTGAACACTATTCCTCCATCTAATTATAACACTGTTTTTGTTTTCTATATTTGGATTCTAAATTAATTGAGTGCCAATTGGTGTATTTTCAAGGTGGTTTCTTTTGTCATGTCTTATCAACCTAATATTGTTGAGTAAAATGTACTTCCAAATTATTTTGAATTTGATCAATAATTTGATAAATTTGTGTAAATTTTATGTTATATATTGTTTTGCTTTATACAAATTATAAGGTAGTGCTTTAACTTACTTTAAAACATCTTATATTACTTGTAAATACTTCCTGAAATGTACCTCCTTGAAATTCAATGTGTCTTACAAATGCTATATTGTATTACAAACATACTATATATTACCATACATTCAGCATTGCACCCCATTTTTTGTAATTAAGTAATCAAAGGGACAAAACAGATAATTTACGCATGGAACTTCATAATGAGTAAATAGGAGTTCAAAAAATTCCTCAAGCTTTTGAGACAAATCCCGTGCATTAGGAACAATAAGACTCGCCCTTTTTCCTTGAAACAAGCACACGAACTGCAAAATGCGCCTCCAACACTAAAGTGTCAATGAGGAGCCAAAAATAATTTTCTAAATCGAACGGTCGACTCTCAGATTTAAAGTTTGAACTCAACTGATAATCAAGAAATGGCCGAAGAACCACAAAATCCCCCAACAGCTGATACTGCGCCCGCTGTGAATCCAGACGAGCCTCCAGATTTCAATATTGAATCCGACGCAGACGTTGAGCCGTTTGTCGTCCAACTCAAAGCGTTCTTGGAAAAGCATGATATGGACGTTAAGGTCAAGTTGAGACCAAAGAAAATCAGAGGGTCAACCTCCTCAGTTGATGGTGACGGACTTAAAACAGGCGAAGTCAACATCCCAGCCGATTTCAAAATCACTGGAAGAGACAACAACGGCAAAGAAGTCGATCACGGAGGAGATAAAGTCGAAGTCAAAGTTGTCGATCCACAAGGCAATGAAGTTCCATGTGAAGTTGTTGATAACAACGATGGTACCTATGACGTCAAATACACTCCTGTTGTTCCTGGTGACCACAAAATCGAAGTTAAAGTTAACGACGAAGTCGTTGAGAAGACTCCAGTTGATGTGTTAGTCTTCGACGAGTTAGCTGATGCTTTGAATTGCACTGCAGAAGGTCCGGGACTCAATGAAGCTGAAACCAAGACACCTGCGCCATTCAAAATTATCACGAGAAATAGAATAGGACAGCCGTTGAAGAAAGGAGGACAGAAGTTTGATGTTACTGTCAATGGTCCGACTATTCCTGCTGATGTTCAAGTGAAAGATAATGAAGATGGTACTTATGATGTTGAATATGTTGCTAAAGAGCCAGGAAAGACTCATATTGATGTTAAAGTTGATGCACCCGTTAAAGCCGAAGGAGAGAAGAAACCAGAAGGTGCTGAAGGAGCCGAAAATGCTGCACCAGCCGAACAAGAAAAGAAACTCGAAGAAGACGGAACTGCTCCAGCGGAAGGAGAAAAGAAGGAAGGAGAACCAAAGAAAGAGATGCAAAGCATCAAAAACATGCCAGTCGACTTAGATGTCAAATTGAATCACGACGATGCTGATCCCAAACAATGCTGGGCTGATGGACCGGGTGTCGAAGGTGGGTGCAAGACTTGTGACTTGGCCAAATTTGTTATCCATGCCATTAAGCCCAATGGCGAGCCCTGTGCACTTGATAAAGTGCCGTTTGATGTCTGCGTCACTGATCCTGAAGACGAAGAAATTGAAGCCAAAATCGAAAAGGCCGAGGACGGAACTTACAACGCAGAGTACATGCCAACTAAGCCAGGTAAATACAACGTCGAAGTTATTATTAGAAACCCCGAAGTCCCATCCAACTTCGAACATATTAAAGGCTCTCCTTATACTCCAGAGATCTTAGCTGGTATTTCTGGCAAGAATTGTGTTGTTTCTGGCCCAGGTGTAGATGGTGGCGAAGAACTTGATGATTGCAATGATGCCGAATTTACAATTCAAGCCAAAGACTTCAATGGTGATGACATTAAAGAAGGTGGAGCTGAATTCGACGTGAAAGTCCATGATCCAAATGGCGATGATCTTCCTTGTGAAGTCAAAGACAATGGCGATGGTACTTATGGCTGCAAGTACGCTCCAGAGTTCCCCGGCGATTATAAGATCGACATTGATATCAAGAATGATACTCATGAAAAGGTCGGTAAAGCACCATATGAAGTCTGTGTCGGAGAAGGTGTCGACAACAACAAGACTGGCGTCGACTGCTTCCAATTCACAATCATCGCAAAGAGCAAGAGAGGTGGACCTGTCAAGCCAGGTCATGCCAAATTCGCAGTCAAAATTACACATGAGAGTGGGACTGAAATTCCACAAGAGAACATTGATATTAAGAACTTAAAGGAAGCAAAATACAGAGTCACCTACAAAATCGGTGAACATGGCGCTTATACCATCCACTGCACCTTGAACAACAGAGACATTAAAGGTTCTCCATGGGTCCAGAACTGCTAATTTTCAATTGATACTTTTCATTCGAAGTTGTATGGTTTTGAACTAATTATTGTCTAGTTTAATAAAAGTATTAAAATTTAACTATATAAATACTATTCTACTCAAATAGATTGAATAGTATAGTATTATACTATACAATTAACTAAATAAGGCTTCTAGTCAACAAATAATCAATTATGGAGTTTCTCTCTAAGCTCTTTGTATCGTTTTGTGAGCTTTAAAAACGGTTCTCTATGAAGGCGATTCAATTTGATAACGTCTTCATCGGAATACGTTTGCGAATCAAGAAGACTATTAAAGAGTTGCTGAATCTTTTGAATGTCTACGACGACCCTTTTCAATTCATCTGTGTCCACTTTGGGATCCTTTTTAATTGTGAAGGAAAGTGCGCTTTTGGGCTTCTCTTTCTCGATTGGTCGTGGCTTCTTCTCTTCTCGTTCTTTGTCTTTCTGGGAGGTACGGAGTTTGGGAATCTTTTTGTCTTGATTCAAGACGACAACGTCACCAATTTTGTCTTCGAGTATTTTAGACTCATTTTTCTTCTTCTCTTCTTCACGACGTTGTTTCTCAAGTCGACTTTGCTCTTCTTGTTTTCGTTGTTCGCGGTCGCGTTGGTCTTTCATCTCTTTCTCTTTCCGTTGACGCTCATTCTCTTTCTCTTCACGCTCCCGTCTCTCGCGAAGTTCTTTCTCGCGCTCCCGGTCTTTCTCTTTTTGTCGCAACGCATTCGACTCGTCTACTTTGATCTCTACTTTCTCTTTCCGTTGGCGCTCTTGTGACATCGGTCGCGTCGTTGCTTTGATGTAATTCCCATGAACAGACAACACTTCATAACTCATGGGGTAATCATCGTCGTTGCAGTTATACATTTTTCGGGTGTGGTCGGTTTGTTCAAAAGGTAAGTCCGCACCATTAATATTTAACACTACTCTATTCCCCTCAATCCTCGCTTTGATAACACCACTCTCAAATTTCTTCGCTGTTTCTCTGTCTACTTCAAAGTGAAAAAACTGTGCTCCAGTGTTGTCCTCATTTGCAGAGAACATTTTCTCTTTTCAAGTTTTTTCCTTTTTGTCGTTTAATCACACAAATGTTGTTCTATTATGTTATTCTATTATGTTATTCTATTTTGTTATTAATTTTTGTTATTAATTTTTTGTTTTTTAATAACTAAAGAAGACTTCCAAGAAAATATGGTAATGAAATAATTTCTTCAGAACAGGTTTAGACGAACTTTATAGGAAAAGATTAAAAGTTCGGGGTACTCCGTTGCTATTTCTTTCTATTGTCAATAAAAAGAAATATATTGAAAATAGTATAAAAAATAAAGACATAACACATCGAATCATTTACTGTTGTTTATCTTCTTCTTCGGCCACCTCCTTGATTTCTTCTTCGACTGGTTCTTCAGCTGGGATGGACTCGACGACTTCATTAGCGTCTTGGTGTTGTTCGAGGAGTTTCAAAGAATCGATTTTACCGGACTTGAGGATCTTAACCTTACGGATGTAGACATTGTCGATTGGGAAGATTTTTTCGGCTCTTTGGATGATGGTTTGGGTGAGAGTTGGCTCTCTCAAGAAGTCGACGAACTGTGGCAAGTCTTTATTGATGGCTTGTTTTGTGATGATGGCTCCCATGATCTTTCTAATAAGTTTGGCTTGTCCCTTTTTAGCATATGAAGTCTTCTTGATCTGACTTGGTTTTCTAGTGGTGAAACCAATGCAGAAAACTCTAATGGTGTTTCCGTCGGTGGTTTTAACATCGACTGATGTTTCGATCAAAGTGCACCACTTCTTGACAATGCTTCTCAGCTTATCTGTTGTCAATTTCAATGAATGGAAGACCATCAAACAATCTTTGCCATTGACGTCTTCACATCTGAATTTGTAGTTGTAAGCTCCAAACTTCTCGCTTTCCATAAGATCGGCCAAATTGACTTCAACTACTCTTCCTCTCAATTGGTCCGAAGCTACCTTTGTACCCGTCGTCTTGTTCACAACAATTTGTCCGACGTTTCTTCTCTTGAAGTTCTTGGGGACCTTCACGTTATACCACTCTTTCTTAGAAAAAGGTTCTGCGATCTTTCTCTTGTTGCCCTTCTTGACGTTTCCTGCCTTATACTTCTTATTCTTACCTGTGGCCATAGCTCGAGAAGATGGGTTGCATATTCTAAGTACACTTAAATATCTTACCCTATGCTCAGGGTTTTTATTATCCTTTTCCTTTTAGCTTTTTTTACTTCCTCTTTAGTTCTTTGTTTTTTTGTTTGAGCAAATTGATCTTAGCTATCTCACTTTATAATTCTTATCGACTTGCTCTAAGATGAATGCGGTTATGATTTTATTTATAAATATTAATTAATTTATTATTAATTATTAGAATAATATATTTCCCGTTATTTTAGATAAAAAAATGCATACTATTGTGTATACAAATCACTCAAATATGTTATAATAGTTTTAAATACAACTAATTAATGATTGAACAAACTATATATATATTAAAAATACACTCCAAATTCAATTTTGAGAGATAATAATGATTTGTTATTATTATAAAAATAAACAAATTAGTACTAACACTCTTTAATATAGTTTTTATTAATTATTAACACTTTAAATAACATGGAAAGTAATTGAAGTAGACTAAAAATCGGGAAATCTTGAGTTTATTAAATAAATTTCCAATTTTTTAGAGTTTATATAATATATATAAACAATACACAAACCAAAAGGGGAAAATCATCAAAAATTAAAAAAATATTCAAGTAAAAACAGGTCAATTAAAAAACAAAAGTATTATTTTAATTGTTAAATCAGTGAACTTTCTTTAAAAAATATCACATTTTGAAAAATTAATGATTTTAAATATTTTTAAAAAAAAAAGTGAATTTTTTAAGAACATTTTTAAAATTAAAATAATAATAATAAAAATAATAAAAAGTATAGTAATAAATAGTTTTTACATTTCCCAATAAATTCTTGCAAATGAGTAGAAAGTAAAGTATTAAAGAGAAAGAAGAAAGTTTAATACGAATAAAGAAAGTGAAAGTAATTGTTAATTAAAAGAAAAGAAACTTATAATTCTCATATAGAAAGAACACCATGGATAACAAAGTGATCAGTTTAGTCTTTCTCGTGTTGTTATGTTTTCAAACGGTAGTCCAGTCGATACTTGGCCGTTATTCCAGAGGTGTTTTAAAAGAGACTTACTCGATTCCTTCGACTATAGTCTTTAACGAGGTACTCAAATTTATCATATGTTTGGTCATGTTGAAGTTTGTGCATCACAAAGAAAACCTGTTCTTCCATGTTATCCATTTGATCAAAACGTCATTAGTTGCCTCAGTTCCCGGTTTCATCTATTTCATTCAAAACATGTTACTCTACATTATATTACAAAACACACAAGCTGCTGTATATACTGTTATCATTCAATTGAAAGTGTTCACCACTGCAATATTCTCAATCCTATTCTTAGGACGGACCGTCACTTTAACACAGTGGCGCGCACTTACTCTCTTAGTTATAGGTGTTGTTCTTGTTGAAGTATCGGCAAACAGATATTCAGGAAAGAATGATTCAACAGAGAACAATATGTTAGGTATTATATTAAGTCTTGTGATGTGTTGTTGCTCTGGCTTTAGTGGGGTGTATATGGAGAAGATCTTAAAGAACAAGACGGAGACTGAAACAGAGAAGTTAAATATCTGGGAGAGGAACATTCAACTCAGTGTGTATGGCGCTTCCTTTGCTCTCCTTTCTACTTTCATTTTCGACTTTGCCAAAGTCATGAAAGACGGATACTTTGGCGGGTGGAGTTATGTCACTTTGATACTCATAGTCATCCAAGGCGTTGGGGGAATCTTTGTTGCATTAGTGATGACTTACGCTGACAACATCGTGAAAGGGTTTTCAATTGGGTGTGCTATTGTGCTGACTACTATATGCTCCATTTTCATATTCGACGCTCAAATCGACTTGACGTTCGCTATAGGTGCCGCGTTCGTTATTCTTTCTATTGCTAATTACAACGACAAGTACGCAAAACCAGAGGCGTAATATTCTGTGTGTTAACTTTATTCTATTGGGTCGTATTCTTTTGATTTTTTTTAAAACAAAGTTTATTTTTCATATTCATTTCTTGTGTTTTTAAGGACTTAAAATAGTTAATTTTGTTTTTAGTATTATTTAGTCAAAGGGTTATTAAATAGTATAAATTTCCATATTTCAATGAAAGAAATTTGGAAAAACATCAAAATTTTTTTTTAAATTCTTCCATATAAAATTTAACAATTTTTATTAATTAAAAAAGTGAGTTAATATCGAGATCTCTGGTTTTTGAACAAAAAAATAAAAATGGGAAAACATAAAAATTTTATTTAAAGAAGAATTGACAAACTTACAAATTACAAAAATGGTAAATTAATAAAAGTTAGTAATTTCTTGATTGTGAAATAATTTGGTATTTAATGGTAATAATTATTATATATTTATTATAAATGTATAATAACTAGTTATAGTATGAAACTAATAAGCAATGAGATATAAATAGATTCCATTAGATTGAAATGTTGAGAAACAAGGCTGAAGAAAACAGAATGTCAGAAATTAAAAAAGTTATAAAAACTCGAAACCCACATTCCGATGGGGAAGACGGGGAAGTCACAGAAGAAAGTGACATACCATGAATTGGAAGAAACACTCAAAAAGGAATTTTCTGGCTTTGTGAAAGACTTTGAAACAGTTCCCACGAAAGAAGTTGCTGTGAAGGTGTATGTGAAAAAGCTCGAGAAGGCTCTTAGTGAGTTTCAAAGCACTTTATCGCTTCAAGTCATCATCGACAACACTGAAGATCAAATAGCGATAGCTGAAACCCTTATAGATGTGTGGAGGATAGTCATCGATGTGTTAGATAAAGTCGACCAAATGTTATTGCCGACTTGTTTTTATCGTGTCTTACTCTCGTTGATCTCCAGGTTTGTTATTACCACCTTGCACAGAGGAATAAAGAGACCCGAAACAAATTCATCAATAGAAGTGAATTCCAACCTCATCACTTACTCATGAACAACCCACTCTTAAGCGAAACGACAAAACCAATTATCGCTAAAATAGCATTCGAAATTAAAACACTGTTTTATCGGACGTTTTATGTCATGAACAAAGTGATGATGGAGAAACAGTTGATCATCTTTGGTTCTATGGAAATCAAATTAAAGCCGCCAAAGAAAGAAAGTAAAGTCAAGAAGGAGAAAGAAAAAGAAAAGAAAGACGACAAAAAAGAGGAGAAAAAGGAGAAAGAAAAGCGCGAGAGAAAAGACGTGAAAATCACCGTCAAAACAGTCCAACAAAAGTCGCCAGTGATTCAAACGTCTCCTCGCGAGAACGAACAAATTGATCCATGTCCATCCCCACGATATATCGAAGAAGAAACAGAAGAAGAACAACACCAACGCGCTTTACTCACATTAAGTGAACAAAAACGGATGTCCGTGTTATCCAAAGTACTTGTGAAGATCATTGAAGAGAAAAAGATCGAGAAAGAGGACATGACAAAGAAACAAAAGCGCCTTTCTGCAACACTCAAAATCGGCATTGGCGCAGAGGAACAATTTTTCTGTGAGAACAACGTCTCACCAATATTTGTGCAATTTTTCCCCGAGTATTATTCGTACACCTTTTTCCAAATTCCAGAGTTCAGACTCGAATTGTTGCAACTGGTGAGAGACGTTAACGGTGCAAATTTTCAATTGAAAACAGCAACAAACGAATTCTCGAGGAACTTAATAAAACAAACATTCCCACGCCTCTTTTTGTTTGACGACATGTTCAATTATGTGAAGGAAGAAGATGGCGTCGATATAACAGAGGGATACGCCAATTTAAAGAAAACGTGGATGGAGGTGTTTCTACCAAAGAGCGACGTCTTTATGTCGTTCTTCTCGTTTTACATCCAAATTGTGTATTTTACTGTGAAGGAGAAAAAGGACTTCCGCGAGTTTGGCGAGATCTTTGGATTGAGAGAATTAGTCGACGCGTATATCAAACAGCGATTGAAAAGTCCTGAAGACCATTCGACGTTATTACTGAAAGAAAACGACAAGAGGTGTGTATTAATGAATTACCCATTCATCGCAAATTTCATGATCCAAACGATGTTTCAATCAACGAATATATACGACACAGATCGATGCGATTTGAGCATCACCATTCTTGGGAAATGGTTGGTCGTGTTATACGAACATGGCAAATTTGTCACCGACGACTTTTGTGTTGATGACATCATTAAAGCGATTGATGGGGTTGTTAGCACAGACCACTTCCAATTGATTATCGACTTAATGATTGCATTATTTGACTCGTCGTACTTCTTTATTGGCAACGCACGAATCAAACTCTTTGTCGACACGTTTGTGGATAAGTGGTTTTATACACTCTTTTGCCACTGGAACTTCTACGTCAGACAAGCTTTTCAACACATTGTGTTATATAAGTTCTTGTTCACAAGACGCTCGCATTTGAATTGGGCACGATTCGACAAGTGGGAGAATGACATGATCAAGAAACAGAGTCAATTTTCGGTGTCAATGGAAGAGGTTGATCGGAAGGTTCTTAAAAGTGTTGAAGACAAATTGGTGACTATTAAGTTGTTTACTGACGGGGATATCAATCCCCAAATGGAGAAGTATCGGATTTATTGTAAACCTGCATATGCGGAGTATGAAAAAGCACTCAAGTTGTACAACGACTGGGACAAATCGAAGGTCCAAGAACCGCCAAAGATCAAAGCCAATTTGACTGAATTTGACTTGGAGAATTTGGAGTGATGTTTTATGTTATTTAGTTGTAATTCTTGTTATGTATTGTGTATACTAATTTATACCTTTCTTGTGATTTGTATTGTGAACGAAAGACTCAATTAGATGAAGGATGGCATTGCAGAGCTTCCTGATGCTCCGGAGTCGTAATCGAACCCCCAATCGTTATTCGACTTTGTAGTTGGCTTTTTCGCTTGTGGTTTTGGTTGAGCTTGTTTTGCGGGGTTATATGCAGTCGCTGCAATTTGTGGTTGCTTTGATTTTGTTTGTTGTTCAAACGAAGCCGCCCAACTATCCCAGTCATCTGCTTTAACGGCGGGTTTAGGTTTTTGTGGCTGTGTTTTTTGTTGTTGGGGTGGTGCACTTTGTGAGGAAGAAGGTGTACTTGGTGAGGTAGATTGTTGAGTAGAGGCTGGGGTGTTATTCGGGACTTGTGCCGCAGACTGTGGGGTGAAAGTAGTCGACTCTCCCGAGAAGATATCTGCTTGTCCCATCACTTGTGTAGTTCCACCCACACGTAACCCTATGTTCTCCCCTTCCTTTGGATATTTTGGGATATAGGACGGGTTATCTAGTGTGAGTGCATACTCTTTCACTGTGATCGCAACTACGTCCCAACATTCTATAGCTGCTCTACGAATTTGTGGGTCCAAGTCGACTAACGCAAGTGATAAGTATGGTACAACATCCTTTGCACATACAGAAGGGTCAATTGCGTATTTGTTCTGTGAGACCATAATAGTAGCTGCCTTCTTCATATCCGCAACACCGTCTTTCATACTTCTCGAGAACGCAGACGCAATCAATTTGCCTTTTTTCTCTGCTTTGAAATAACACGCGATTTTCCCAATACACACCACCGTGTTGATTCTCACAATACTCTCCGCATCATTCAACGTGTTCAACAAAAAGTTGAACACTTCGCCATTCAACGTGGAGTCGGGAAGTTTCGGCGCAAGACACACAAGAGATCGCACGGCAGCATCTTTCATTGAACCAGTCGATGTCGTTTGCATTGACGACGAAAGCATTGGGTACAAATACCCACCAACAATGTTCTCGGGCAACTTGTTGACGTACAAACTCGCTTGCGCTAACATCGCCGACTTGACTACTGGCGATCCCGTTTGTAACAATATTTTAATAGTTGGTTGCACGTCGGAGTCGAAGTCTTCTTGTGATATCGAAGATGTCAGTCTCATAGCAGGTTCCACAACAGCGACGGCCTCATTCCTTCCATCTTTCATGATACTCAAAAACGCTTCTAACAATTTGTATTGTCTGAACGTCGGTGGCAGAGTGTCAAATTGACTTGCCATATTCCTCAAGAACGATTCCCTCACAAACGCGTCGACCGTCGAGAAGTTCTCGAGTGTGTTAAGGATCGCCAAGAACCTATTTTGCGTGATGAACGGTAGTGTGAGCATCATCGCGACGTTCTGTCTTTCAGTGTGATTCACTGAATTGATGCTCTTATGGAACGATGTTAACTCCATTGGTATAGATGGCGACGTCGCCACCATCGACTTCTTCGTTATGTTTGTCCCAAACAAATAGCACATGACTGCCGCAACACCCCACGAGTCGACGCCTTGAACGTTTTGTCGATAATTCGAAGGGTCTGGTGGTAAGTAGACGTCATCGAGGATTTGTGGATCGGTCTGCATTCTACATTCAAACGGTGAATTGGCGATTCCCGAGAACTCGGAGAGGTATTCAAACCCAAACAATTTGACTTCTAATGACTTTGTGACATACAACGACTGCGGTTTGACATTGCCATGTAACAAGTTTTTCGAGTGTAAGTAGTCGACACTCCGAACGACGTTATACACTGCCCATATTAATAAGTCGGGCTTCTTTCTTATCTCAGTTATTTTATCGGCTATGGGGAACATTTCTTCTGTCGTGATTTGTACTTTGTTGCCCGTTTCATTCACTTCCAATATCTTCGGAAGTGCTTTGAAGCTCAGTGTCTTCAGCTTCTTTTCCATCAATTGCGGGAAGTTGAGTTGTTTGGAAGACTTATAGAAATTGGTCTCATAGACAAATGTGGTACCTTTTGTTCGATCGATCTTCCTCACAGAGGTAAACACATCACATTGAATCGTCGATGTATTAATACTTTGGATTTGGTTCTTTGTTTCAAAAGGATCTCCCATGACTGTCTTCTGAATTTCGTTCTTCGGGTCGTTGAAAATGTTCTTGAAGAAATTCATCTGATGAGATTTTGTAGTTTCAGTTGACCTCACTTGGACATCCACCCACTTTTCTTCTCAAAGTCTTTTATTCAAATATGAATAATAAAAATTTAATTGAAATATAATTAAGTATAGTTTAAGTAATCGACGTGGAGACTTTAAAACGCTTTTTGATAATTTCCTTTATGTTCTTATTCGTCATTACCGATCTATAACTTATAATAAAAGAATTATAAAATATAATAAACTTTGGATTAAAAGGTCACAACAATAAAGCGACGAAGAAAGAGACTACGAGAAGAACAGACGACGTTGCGGTGTTAGTGGTAGTGTCGTTAAGAGTTCCCTCGGTGATTTTATAATTGTACAAATATGAGTCGAGTGAAGCATAGTTAATACAGTCTTCCAAGAGAGTGGGTTCGTCAGTAAGACCACAAGACGACATTGTCAAATACATTTGAAAGCTTCTGAGATTACTTCCTTCGACTTCTTTAATAATAAAGTGATCATTGTTTCCGTTCACCATCTTCTCCGCGTCAAAAACAGTTGATATCTCATAGCATTTGTTATAATTAACAGGGAATTCTTTTATAAGACTTGAAGCAGAACAATAGTTGTCGCCAACCATTTCGTTTTTAAATCGGCTGAATGTGATATACTCACTCAGTGTTGTGAATAGTAACAAAAAGAAAAGCATAGGTCTTTTTGAGTTCACTTGAAAGTAACTAATTGAAGAACAAATTCCATATTTATAGTTATTTTATATATTTTAATCTATTCATTTTTTTAAGATGGAATTATTCAAATAATTATCTACTAAAATAGTTTAATTTAACTAACCATAAAAAGAATTATAATTTTAATACATTTGAAATATAGAAAAACAAAAAGGTATAGTATTATTTTATTATACATTAACTATTATATAAATTAAAATAAAAATGAACTATAATAATGAATTATAACAAAATAACTATAATGATGATGTACTTCAAAAGAAATTTCTGGCTTTTGAAAAAAATAGAAGCTAATAACTATTTACTGTTGGTTAATTATTATAATTAATAATTTAATAATTATTATATTATAATTAAGTAATTAATCTAATTTTATTCAAGCATATTGAATGGGGATTTCTAAAGACTAAGAAGCTCAAAATAAGACAACAAAACCGTTTATTATTGTAACCTTACATATAGAACTTGTAATCTGTACATGTCGAAAAAAGTTCATGGACGTTCTCCGTCCTCCAATTCATCTTCTCCACGTCTTTCTTTAAAATCACGACCACCAGTTTGTGTTCTTTTATGCACTTCATACAACATTCATTGAAATTTACACAAAGACACTTGGCAAACCACGGTTATCAATTACTCCACGACTCTTCTTGTCCCCCACAGGGACTCCACCCAACGTTTCAAATGACATCACACCAAAAGGAATGTCACAAGAACGTACCACCGTCGATATAGTTAAAAAAGTCCTCACAGAGATCATTACAAACACTTCATTTCTGTTCGAACTGTTCTGTCAAGCCCCAAGTAACAATCTTTGTGGGAAACACTATAATGCAGCTCTCCCCCTCCCTCTTAGAAAAATTTTGTTAAATCAAATGAATGCTACCCTCGATAGATTAGACAACGATAGCTTCTTACCCGTCGCTTCAGCCTTTTTGATCGATGATAAACTATGCTTCGATAAGTACCCCGCTGTGCTCTCTGAGTTGTGTCTCAGCTCTTTCTCTGAGCTTCCACAAGACATATTAACAGACTGTTCAAATGCGGCGTCAGAGATTTTAATGGACTTCTCATTGTTAGTAGAAATACTCGACAACGACATCCAGAAGTTTTACACAACACTCCACTCGTGTCTACTGTGCGCTTCTTTCACAAGAAAGTCGACAAATCGCCTTTCGAAATTTGAGAGTGAAATGCATTCGAATCAGTCACTCTTCAATTCCGTCTCTTTTGTTGATGTCTTATTGCGAGAAATGCGGAAGTACACTAAAGAGTTCTTCTGTGTTGCAAACAGCCTTAAAACAAAGTGTTTTGACAAGAAGAAAGGGTTACTCCGCCGACATGGAAGTTTATTGTTATACCTTCATGATATCTATGATGAGAAGATGATGGTCCATGTAGTCTTAGTTTTATATGAAAGAGGGTTACAGCTTTATGTTTTACCAGTACCAAACGTGATAACCACGGAGTTATGGATAAGTCGAGAGAACTTACGCTTTGGCAATATTATAGGTGAAGACGGAGAAGAATGGAAAAGTGGGTGGTATATTCTTCCAATCAAAGATATGTCGACTACTAAAGAGTATTTGTTATGCTCTGATGATTCATCATTAATATTACTTTGGAGGGACGAGTTACTTTTGAACTCACTGTTCTATGAGAGACAGTATTTTGGAAAAGGTACGCCAGAGTTGTTTAATGAAGTTCCTTTTGTCATACACAATGTCATTAAAGAATTACTTTTCCGTGGAAGTGAGACACTTAAAAACTTCGAAAAGGTGAAGGGAAAGCAAAGTGTCAAGAGAGCCGTTCAATTAAATAGTCATGTTGATATGGCGACATTTCCCATTGAAGATGTTGTGTTGTACTTCATAACATATTTAAAAAACATGAAACCAAAACTTTTTAAAAAGGAAGATATAGAAGAGATATTAAAAATAAATCCACATTCAAATACACTTCAAGAGTCCGGACTCTTCCAGTTTTTATCAACATATGAATATAAGAACTCTCTCATACTTAAGTCACTCTTATTCCTCTTGGAAAGCCTTCTTTTAAATTATAAAAGCTTTTCAATGAGTGATGCTATCAAGGTGTTAAGTTATGGAATGGACTCATACTTCAAAAAGAAGATGAATGAAATGCATGAGTTACTGACGTACACTATAGTTAACATATCTGCGTCATTGCCATTCACTTCAAGTATATTTACTCCTATTATCATATCTAATGTGACACTACTTGATGAGTCACCAATGAGACTGTATACAACAAGTAATCAAAATATCATCGCAATGACGCCAGAGACTATGCACATCATTGGGTTGAATAAAGTGACGGTGCAACTTCCCCATAAATACGTGTGTTCTTGCAGTTCAAAAAGTGCAGTATACATTGCGTCCAATTCAAAAGTGAGTAAATGGGTCAACAACACATTTGAAACAGTCGAACAAAAGGGTATTCGCGCAATGTGTGTGGTAAATGAAGTGCTTATGTTTGTGAAGCCGAAGTCGGTTGAATTTGTTGATGCGCAAAAGTACACATTGATTCAAAGCCATCAAATAGATGTCGAATTGGTTAAAGTGTCTTCCACATCTACAGATTTCATTGTTTGTGTAAATAACACAACAATACTCGTCTTCGATGAACATGGAAATAAAAGCACTATTCGCACCTTTTATAGTGAAAAGGATGTCAGTGCTTTGGAATGTGCAAATGAAAAGATTTTACTTGGGCACTCGGATGGAAGTATATCTATCATGTCTACTTCATTGAAAGAAAATGGTATCATCACTGCACTTGAAGGTGCAATTTTAAGTATTGTTAGTGGTGATGGTACTATTTTTGCACTGTCTTCTAATAACACGGTTATAATCACAGACTTTATCAGTATGAAAGTCGTTGCTATCTTTAAACCAATTTCACAAACAAATGGAATGATGTACTATAACAACCACTTGTACATTGCTACTATAAATGGAATCATTCAATATGTCAGTAACAGGCCAAAACCAAGTGCTCAACAGAACATCACTCCTTTCTATCAAGATGTACCTTTGTGTATATCAAAGCCAGTCCATTCATATATCCCAAACATCTTTGGAGTAAAAGGTTGTTGCAGTTGTTGTAATAAACCAGTTATAAACAATGGAGTCTTATGCAGATGTTTGTTCTGATTATCATATATATCGTAAATATAATATAATATAATTATACTAACTAATAGTTTGTCTTGCTCTATTTCATCATTCATGTGTCACTGAATCAAATCAAGACTGTTCCTATGTTTAACCAACTCATTGCACTACAATTTTCTTTTCAACCACCTTTCTCCTTTCATTGTTTTTTATTCGGTTATACATCCCACGAAACCGCCGTTCTTTACTTTTCACTAAACTTGAAAATCCCCCTTTTCTCTGTTTTTTTCATGTATTCAAACAACCCCTACACACTATTTTTAAGCTTTTTGACCCGAAAAGAATTGTACTAAAACCCAATAACACCAAAAAACTAACAATTCAATATCATTCGAAATGGACCGCATGTCCAGTTCTTCACCGACACAAATTAGACACAGACTTTCAAGAGACTCTAATAGAGCTTCAACACAAAGTGATGATCTTGCATACTTCCCATCCCGTCGTATGACTCTTGATTCAACACTTTTACAGCCAATTTCATCTCCCAAAAGTACTCCAACAAAAATACTCCAAGAAAACAAAACACCTTTCTTTTCATTTAAAACTTCTCAAGTCCCGCAGACTCGAGAAATTATCGTGAGGACAATGGAGAGTTTACTTAACACGTTTAAGAAGGCACTTTTCGTGCAAGCCCAGTTCGAACAAAGTACACCAAGACAAATGAAAGAAGACATTTCCGGATTACAAGAAGACATCTTGAAAGAGTCCTTCGACAAATTCTTCAAGGACTTGGATGATGTTTCGGGCATTTTGTCTCCCGTTTTGAACGCAATGCAAACGAATCTAGAAAATCTGTATTATCCCCTCGTTTCCTTCTTTCAGTCGTACTCCTTTTCTATTTTAACAAACTTCCTCTCGACGCTCAAGAAGAACATAATTGATCTTGAAAAATTGCAAAAGGATCAACAGAAGTATCGCCTCAACTCGATCACATGTTCACATAAATTAGTCAAAATTTTAATAGAAATAGTGACTGACTTCAATTGTTTAGTTCCACTCTTCGACGTGGATAAAATGGAAATTCAACGCCGAGTGGACGCTCAAGAGATATTAGTCCAATTCAAGTCGAGTAATCCAGTGCAGTTGATGGCAAGCAATATCTCCCTTTCTGAGTTACTCTGGGCAAAGTCCGTGTTGCGCAACTCTTCTTTGTTTTCTTCTCAATTGGCAAAAGCTACAGAAAGTTTCAGCGACTTTGTGAACGCACACGAAGTCATCATGTTCATTCAAGAGGCACTCTTCCAACGTGAAAACAATTCTAAAGGACTTAAAGAGGTATTTGACTTGTTAGACGAAGATAAAATACTGACAAGTTCAGTCATGTATGTGCTCATACAAACAAATGATAACGTCTCAAGGTATCACAAGAGTGTTGTTTGTCTCACACAAATCGGCGTCTTTGTATTCGTCCTCTTCTCTGGCAATTTTGTGATATTTGCAGACTTCATCTCAGCAAAGACATTGAGTAATGCTACTATTGAAATTACTAGTTCGTTGGATCAACTATTTGTTGGGGATTTGCACATCACTTTGAAGGACGATGTCTGGAAAAAAGAGTTTGTATTAGGGTTTCTTCACACAAGCGATTTGATCGAGTGGTCGGCACTCTTAAAGGAACATCTTCTTTCATTTGCATTGACAAATCAAATAGAATATAAGAATGACCACCCTATTGCCTCTAAATTGTATTTAAAGAAACTAAATAAGAAGCAGAAGTATGTAGGATCCTCTGTGGAGGAGTTAATTAGTATCCAACAGAGTGTGAACTCCATCGACTTGATTCCAGACATACTGAGAAAGTGTGTTAATGGCATTATAAAGTCGGGACTTGGTGTTGATGGCTTATTTAGAAAGCCCCCAGACCAAGATGAACTTGAAGAACTAATGAAAAAACTGACAGACACAGACTTTAGAAATACGACCACGTTGGAGTACCCTATTTCCACATTATGTGGTCTTCTTAAAGCTTTTCTAATGGAAATGAGTCCACGTTTTATTACTGAAAAGCAGTATGAGACCTTCTTTAAAATATCGAAAGTGGACGACGGTGAGAAGAGAACACAAATCGAAGAATTTATTAATGTACTAAGTACGGAGCAATTTATTGTTTTGAAGGAATACGTCTACTTACTCACAGTGATCGCTGCAAACCAAAAACTCAATCGAATGGGCGCACAAAATTTGAGTACCGCAATATGCCAATGTTTCTTACCACAGAAAAACACCGTCGACTTTGCGTCACTGGAGAACGACGCGTTCGAGTGTTTGATTACCAACTCCGACTTATTTGACACACAAATCACATCACCAGCACAACTTCCACAAATTTCGTGTTTCATCAAAAGACAGTGTAAAGGAGAAGGGGCGTACACAACTACTTTATTCATCGAACCAGACAGAAAGATGGTGACAATTGATAAAGCGGGTTCTGTGCAGATAATCGATGTCGATGACTACTCTTCTGATATCGTCCAAGTGAACTTTGATATCCCAGATCTTCGCTATGCGGTGTCTGTAGGGAAGTGTTTGATAGTAGGTACGAAGACTATGTTATATAGTATATCCACAGAGACTAAAGAGATCATTAGAACAAGTGAAAAGAAGAGGTGTAGTTTCATAACAAGTGCAAATGGGATGTTATTGATTGGAGAGCAACATGGAGTCATCGAAGTCATTGACCCGACCACATTTAACGTTGAAAAGACTATTCACGTGGAAATGGGGGAAGACCAAGTGATGACTGTCCCCGTCATCACTCACATCTTACCCGCTGAAAACATGTTGTTCGTTGTTGGATTGAACTTGAACGAAATAGTAGTGATGTCCCTTTTTGGCGATAAGAAGCGACAAACGATTTTGACACCACATAAGTCATCAATTAGTTGCTTGATCTATTCCGAAGAGAACAAAACGTTGTGGAGTGGAGACTCGAATGGACTCATTTGTGTGTTTTCGACTAAGAACAACGACATTATATCAAAAACGCAGTGCCCGACAGTCTATGGGAAGGTTGTGGCACTTCAAAAGATTAAAGGATACGTGATCGCAACATTCATCTCATCGCAAATTGTTGTGTTCAATTGCGACAATTGTAGCGTTGTTGAAACAGCAAAGACAAACATGTTTGTTTCCTCTAAAAGTGGCATTGTCGTCGAGAGAAATCATCATGGAACGAAGTCGTATAATTTGTGGATGGAAAAGGATAATTCTGGGGATACGATTGTACTTGATATATCATACCCTTCAGGAAACTGCAAATGTGACATAATAGATAATATGGATAGCTTTGTTACTAATAAGTACTTTGATAAAACGCCACTGGGCCATTGCTTCTGCCAAACTAAAACAGTTGGGAAATGCAGTGTCTGTGGTGGTTCATTTTCTGAAGGGTCTGATTGTTACAAATGTCTTAGTTTGTTCTTTTTAAAAAGTTGAGTACTTTTAGTGTTTATAATAGATAGTAATTGACAAACAGACTGCGACAAACACATTCACAGTGGGTGTGTCGCTAAATTTTCTCTAACACAATGCGAGAAAAATGCTGTGGATTATTATGAAGTAATTAATAAACCAAAGTAAATTATTAAAATTACAAGAAAACTATATGAAGTTATTGTTTCAAAAGCTTTGTAAATTGTTTTTGGTGGTGTCTAATGCAGTTAAATGTCATGTGATTTTTTTAAAGAACTTATTGTTTGATAACAATTCCATGAAAAGTCCATCAATAACACACTAAAATAAAGATTTGGTTTTTCTTTTATTATCATAATTATTAGATTATTAAATTATTAATTTGTTATACAGTATTAAACAAAAAAATCGGGAATTATTTGGTCTGGTTTTTAAATCCAAAAGTTGATAAAATTTTGGAATGATAAGTTGAGGAATTAGAATTAATAATTAATAATTGGTTATTAAAAATAACTGATAATTAATAATTCGTTTTACTTTTATTGAATTGATTTTTTTGGTATTTAAAAATCCATAAACAATTGTTCCAAAACATTGTTATTTTGGAACAATAATTAAATTATAATTTACTAATTATAATCTCATAAAAATAATTATTTTTTGATTTTTTTCAGAATCTG